CCGACTGTGCTTTCAAAAGATGGCCATGCTCATGGATCTATCCCACCCCACATGCTCTTAACACCGTGACCCACACTCCTGCCGGGCTCGGTGGGCGGCTCGTGACTGCCACAGCCCAAGGAGTATGGCAGAACTGAGGCCATATGATTTCTGAGGCTTGGTCATAAAAAGAATACAGCCCCATCTGGCTTTCTCCCTTGGGCTGCGTACTCTGGGAACACAGCCACCATGCTGTGAGGAAGCCCTGGCTACATGGAGCCTTGTGCAGGTGTTCCAGTGGACAGCCCCAGCCCAGGAGCTCAGCCAACATCAGGCACCAGACATGTGAGTGAACCTTCAGATGATTCTCCTTTCCAGCGCTGGAATCTTCCAGCTGAGGCCCCAGACATCATGGAGCAGAGATGAACCATGCCAGCCATGCCCTGTCCTAATTCCAGATCTTCAGAAACCATGAGGAGGCCTTGCTGAATCAGGTTTATACTCCAAGGCCCACCCCCATGACTGGCACACAGTGGGTGTTCAATTACTATTTACTGAATGAATGAATGAATGAATGAATGGTTAGTGGGTAACGATTTCAGTCTGACCTTTCAACCATCACTCTCGCCTCTCCTGCATCCCTTCCCCAGAGCTCCGATGCTCTCAGGGAACCTAGGCAGTCCCAAGCCTGCAGCCTGCCCCAAGTGGGCGACGATTCCAGTCTGACCTTTCAACCGTCACTCTCACCTCTCCTGCATCCCTTCCCCAGAGCTTCATTGCTCTCGGAACCTAGGCAGTCCCAAGCCTGCAGCCTGCCCCAGCTCCATGAGTTCCTACTGTCTCAGCTACTTGGAGCTGGGGTTGGTGGTACTTGCAGCCCAGAGCACCCTCACTGATTCACATGCTTGATCGTTTTGTCCTCACTACAGTTCTATAAAGTAGGTCATTATTACAATCCCCATTTCTCATACGAGGACACTAAGGCTGTGAGGAAGACACAGGGAGCGAGGGCTAGTAAGTAATAAGGTGGGGATCTGAATTCAGGTCTTTGGATGCCAAACTCAATATTATTTATATGACATTATACCTGTCTGTAAATAAAGTTTAACTAGTGAAGACTGGGGGTACTTTCTTTTGGGATATCAAGCCCTTGACTAACAACCACATCGGCCGAGTAAGAAGGATGAGGCCCAGGTCTGATGCAATGCTAATTAACAACGACAAAACTTCAGCTGCCATCTTTTTATGTCCCAGGCTGTGCGGTAAGCACTTTATATACATTGCAGCATTCACTGGCTCCCAGCCACCTGTGAGATGGGCATTATTTACCTCTAGAAGGTAACAGAGCAGAGGCTTGGAGAGGTGATGTGACTTGCTCAAGGTCACACAACTAATAAGGGTCAGAGCTGAGATGCACAACAGGCCTGCTTGATTTCTATCACTTAAACTCTTTTGCCTCCTTAGTCACTTCTGTTGACTGGTGAGATCTCAGGTACATGCATATGTGCCACCATCATGAGGTAGCTATTACTATTCCTATATGCAGACAAGCGACTGAGTACACGGTTACCCTGCTAAGAATGGTAAAGTTAGAATTCTAAGCCACGTCAGCCATCCCCATTCCAAATATCACCCCATCGCCCCCATCATGCTTTGTTGCATCTCAGGAGATCATGTCCAAGGTCCTTGGGGGTTGGGTGCTCCCAGGAGAGCTGACCTTTTCCACTAGGTCTCATCAGCATGTCAACAGCAAGAAATAAGCAGTGGCGGATCTCAGAGCACGTGGCCATGCCAGCCCCTGCAGCCATGCCTATCTGGTGGTTTCACCAGGTCTGCGGAGTCTAGGCTGCTGGGTGCTCCTGAGACTGGCTACCCAGAGCCCCTGCACACCCTCTCTCCTGCAAACGTATACCAAGGGGGAGGTTTCAAACCAGACTCTGGCTGAGGAGCGCCCCCACTTCCCCTTCCTGAGCAGGACATCACAGCTCCAGAGTCTGGGGCATGAGCAGGGATCCCAATCCCAACACCTGCACTCACGCCAGGGCCTTCTGGCTTCCTCCATCACCCCGCTCCAGCTTCCCACTCTCTCCACAGGCCACTCCCAAACCCTGCCGAGAACTGACCTTACGCTCCTCCCCTTCAAACTAGCGCCCCTCCCCAATTTCCTCAGGAACATGTCAGTACCACTCTCCAGGCCCACTAATCCATCCGCTACCTGTCTTGGGTCCTTCCTCTTCCAGGAAGCACTCCATCACCACCCCCGTCCCCTCTGGATAAGCTCTCTGCTGCTGACCACGCGGTCTCTGGTATCTACCCACTGGCCTGGCACCTATCATTGTCCCACGACATCTTGTCTAATTATTAAATTGACTTATGTTAAAAGAATACACTACTGGCACTGAGCCATTTTTTTCCTTAAGTGAATATCCACGTTTCTGTATCTTTAATAAAGTGCTGTTCTCTCAAAATGGGTGACTTCAGAAAATTTATTCCAAGGTGTTTTCTCATCCAAGGAGGCAGCCGTCCTAGAATTCTGTTCTAGGGGCTGTCTTCCAAGGGTCTCCCAGGGACCCTGACCTGCGGTAAGAGAGGCTGCCCTCTGCCACAAGGGAAAAGGAGGGGGGGAAATGGTTTCCTGGAAATCACCACGGACACTGAATTTACGGCCGCCCCATGCATACAGCAACGAGAACTTGGACAGCATCCAGGAGCACTCAGGGTTTTATCTTTTCACATTCAGAAAGTGAAGAGGTCTGTGGGACAAATGTGATTATTTCCCCCTCCTACAGAAGTCCCATATTTCTGACTCCTTGACTCTGTCCCTGCACAGGCCCTGGCCATGAGAAACTCAGCAGAGCATGCTGACAGCTGCCAGGAAATGAGTGGGGCCAAGAGGTGGGCTCTGCCCAAGCTGTCTTGGGTGAAAGGATGTGGAGCCCACTGCCTGGGCTGGAAAGGGGAAGGAGTGAAACCGCCATCCTGTTCACCTCTGATGAGTTATCGCCCACCAAGGATTCAGCTCCATTTCAGGCTTCTTGGGTCTCTGAACAGCAACCATTTCTTGGATGGGCTGAGCTGGTGCGAGGAAGCTGTGAGCCAAGCAGGTGACGGGGCAACAGCCCTCCCAGCAGCTCTCCTTCATTGCCCTTAGCAGTTAAAGTCTGATTAGACCTTACTAACCTCCCCCTGCTCCCCATTCCCCCCTCAACTTCTTCCCCAACTCTTTCCTTCGATCATCCTGCACCATCACCGCCACAACCACTCTAAAAGATGCCCCCATCTTGGAGATTCTGCTTGTTACTTTGTCCTCTGGTTGTCACACATGAATAGTTCTTGCCTTTCCAGTTAAACAGGAATAATAACCCAGCACGCCTGGAGGACACAGGGCAGCGGTTCACAACCTGGGCAGCACAGGACAATGTCTTGGGAATTTAAAAAAAAACAACCCCAAACAGGGGACTGTTTAAGTTCCTCAGGTGACTGCAATGTGGCCAAGGCTGAGACGCCTTGCTTTAGACCTCTGGAGCCTGCTATACTCAGTCTTGGACCCCCTGCTCACCCTGGGGAAGGATGTGGGACACGTGTTACCCCCATTTTAAGGGGGCAAAGATGAGGCTGGGCTGGGGTTTGAAGCCAAGTGTCTGCTTCCTGGACCCAGGGCTCTTGCTGCTGCCTTTCTGATCACTGCCAGGTGCAGAGGGCAGAGGCTGCTTCCAACTCGTCTGTCCTGAAACAGCTAACATGGTGTCAGGCAAGTGCCAAGAGCTCTGGTAGCTGGGGACTGAAGGACCGGGGAGATGCAGGGCTTCCCTGCCGGGCTCAGGTGGAGCCAAGGTTGAGAACCCAGTGCTAGAGGGGCATAGGGATGAAGTGAGGGCCTGCTCGCAGAGGTCCTATCGCGTGTGTGTGGGGGTGGGGAGCTGTTACCAACTGTACCTCACAGGGCTAAGGACCTGCCAGACCTCCCCCACCCCCGCATCCCATTTCCCTCCTCTCCCATGTGCCATATAAAATGAAAGGACACAAAATAGAGAGAAGGAATGAACACTTTAAGAAATGTTTTCCATGCTTACCTGCAACATGCCCATCCGCCCCTGTGCTAAGGGAAGTACTGAAAGGGAGTCCTGCAAGTTAGAACGAACTGGAATTTGAGAGGCCATCTTGGCCATACCCTGAGAGCTCCAAACACAACTGAGAGCTGCTACTGAGCAGAGAATTTTGGACCTAAAAAGAACCAAACCAAATGTGCGGTTGTTTCCTCCTCTTCCACCACCAGGCCTAAGACACAGCAGAGTTCTGGGCAGATCAACTGCAGATCGGGTTATCTTGCCCCCTGGTGGCAAGACCTGAGTATAGTTCCTATTCCCAGAAGCTCCCCGCCCCGCAAGCTCTCTCCCTTTACAATTAGGAAAATATTTTAGGACAGAGAACCTGCCACTTAAGGTGCAACAAATACCTTATGGCCCTATACCCGATCCCAGCAGGCTCCCTTGGTCTCCTGCATCTCACACTGAGCATGGGAGGTAGGTTGGAGCACAGGTTATGAGCTTGGGTTATGAGCCACACAGACGGGGGCCAGCCCCTTCCAGGACTCCCCGTAGGGCCTTGGGAGTCACTGAAGCCCAGCCTCCTCATCTGCACAATGGGGACAATATAGGACCTAACTCAGAGGGTTTGAGAAGATTAGAGGGGTGACCCAGGAAAATAACCATGCCTGACTTCCAGTTAAGGGCCAGAGGCAAGCTAGCGGAATTAAAAGTCTGGGTTTTCCTCTGAGCAAATATGACATCCCTACCCCCCATTCAGACAGTAACAGGTCACGCTTCTCTTTTTCCTTTGGCTGCTGGGGCTCAAAGTCAAATTAGGGATTCCCCAATGTACTTCAGTAGGGCTTCATGACTGAATTGGCATTTTTCTTGGTATTGAAATTCTACTCTTGATCTGTTCTTGGTCTTCACTTCTTTATATTTCAGTTAGTTCCTATAAGTCTCTTCAAATCTTTTCTGAAATAAGATAGGATATAAGTAAATAAGACTTTATTATGGACTTAATAAGTTTTGTCCTTTACACATATATGCTGAGTTAGCTCAGCATATATTTTCAAATGCTGTCATCTTTAAGACAAAAGCCTTCTGTCTAAAAGACAGTGGTTTTAAAATACACGTATCAAAATTACTTTAGAGACTTACGAATATTCTAATTCAGAAAGCCCGGATAGGCCCCAGGAATCTATAATTTAAAAAATGTTTCCCAGCTGCTTCTGAGGCAGCCTGCCCAGCCCCGGGCCACAGAGCAGTGTTTGAGAATGTCTGGCCTGGAACATAAGAAAAGGGGGTCATTAGTTACAACAATGAATGCCAAATTCCTTTACAAAATATGATTTTCTAAATAAAATAAATCTCAACTTTATTCAACTGATGTGTTTCAAAAACAATGGGTGGTAAGTCCAAATATGCGAATCAAACCCGTTGAAATTCATCAGGGCAAAGGACTTAGAAAAAATCCTGCAATGAAGTCTTCTATAAAATCAAGACTCTCCTACTTACTTGGTCTTTGAGTTTGGCTTTTCTTAAGGTGGTTACCCCTGGAGTAAATTCCACAGAATGAGGATATTCCCAAGTTCCTTGAAAACCTACCTGTCTTAAACCACAATAGGTAAACCTGTACCAAAAGGCTGTACAAGTTTGAGTGGCTGTCTACTGGAGATTCTTGCATCAGCTCAACCTAAGAATCCACCCTGGCTCCACTAGGGGGTGCTCATTCCCTGGCCTGGGACCCTTCCCTAGACGCTGGGGCTAGGGAGACAGAAGCACACTGTCAGGCCAGTGTATGTTTCTCGCAGACACATTGGTCCCTAGTCCAAGATGATAAACACCTACAAACTGTTCCCTAGCCCAGGATGATAAACACCCACAAACTACCCACAATTTACAAAGTAGGGAGAATGGCTCTAAAGGTGCAGTATGAAGGAAGGCCTTCTGGTTCATTAAGGCCAACAATCACTATAAAGGCAAGTGTGGAAACACACTAGTGTACACTACAAATAGATGTCACATCAACCCACGGAGGGCAGGGGGTGGGAGGAGTTTTGGCCTTCTGGAGTTCAAGTCCAAATTGCTTAGTTGCTCCTTATACACCTTCCTCCAAAGTACACTGTCCAGCAGGATATTCAGGTGTTCAGGAAATAGAATAGCCAGGTCTATGTAGTTAAAAAAACCATTTTATAGACTGCAGTTAAAAAAAAACAACAAAAATCATTTTATATGCTGTGTCCCTAGGAGGGCAGGGGTGCTGGGTGTGAGGGAAATTTCAAACTGTGCCTCCTCCAAAGTTAGATGTAGGTCTGAAGATGCCTCAACCCTTCTCTCCACCCTTCAGGCCACTGTTTTCATTCTGGCAGGGCCCTCAATCTTTTTATGAAAGGGTCATAGATTCTCTCTTCCTTGGACACCCAGGGCCCTGTTAATTAAGCCCAGAAGGGTAGGAGCCATGGAGAGCCAACCAAAAGCGTGAAATCAGTACCCAGGAAACTCATGTTAAAAATCTGTGATTGAGAAATGTTCGCCAAAAGGGGTTCAAAGCCACAGATGTGGCTGAAAAGACCAATACTGCGAATGAAACAGGTGGGAGGTTAATAAGGAAGGTGGAATAGAAAACACAGAGCAAAGGGCAAGAAGACAGAAGATAGTCCAAGTAACAAGAAACAAAGACGGGAAGTAGGTGGGCCAAAAGGTGGGGTTAATACTGACCCGGTTTCCATTTTTTTTCTGGGAAATTCTGAGTGCTATTTTATGTCTTGACATAAGGCTACTGAGCCTAGGACTGGCTGGGCCTATGATAGATGAAAAATCATGCTAACCAGGTCTTTCTGGTACTTTTGGCAATTAATCACAATAGGCAGACTGGCTTTACAATAAATTCCACAATACACCAGGTAGTGGTACGGCCTTAATGCAGGGTTCGTCGGAGAAGGAAAAGGTCCTGGTCCCTGAAAAGAGAGTCTCACAAGGACACCAGGGATGGTTTCAGGGTAGCATCTGCCAGGGCTTGGCTGACAGTTGTTAAAATATTTTAAGGAAAGGAAGACAGCTAGAGAGAGATGCTAAAACTAGACATGAGACTATACTTGACAAACCACTAACCTATGCTCACAGCAACTGTCTAAGGGGCAAAGGCCCACCAAAGTCTGGGCATGGGTGCCAGGCTACAATCTAGAAACCTTAAAAGTGAACCATTCCATTAACTACCCAAAAGAATCAGTGACGAGGGTCTTCAGTCTTCAGGATGAACATGCCCAGAGAATAACGGTGGTCTCATTTTAGAAAGGAGAAATGCCAGACCAGTATAATATGGAAAATCGTGTCAGCAACAGCGTCAATGTCTCTTTTTCCTCTAGGTAGCTGCTTCCAGGGAAAGGTGACAAGAATTAGCAGTCAGTCATCTGTATGTCATTTTGGGAGTGGGGGAGGTGGCTAGTAGCAAAAGCATGTGACTTGATCTACTATAAGGGGCACGAGAAAAGAAGACCTCTTCCCCACCCCTCCACTGCTTCTGTTCCAGCCTCCCCGTTAGGAGCCAGAAAGGCCGAATGAGGACAATGTGTAGACAGTCCTGTCTGCAAGGCTCACCGTGAACGCCTTGTTGGGGCATGCATCAGTTATATTGACAAGACCACCAAAGCCATTCTTTCCCTTCCTTCATAATCCCTTACTGTTCTATCACATCCTCCTCCAGTGAGTGAGAGAGAGAACAAGTACTTCTTTCATTTCCTAAGCACCGTGAATCTTGGTAGCACTAGTTTCACATCTGAGATGTCATAAGAAACAGAGCAGGTATGAAACTCCCACTAGGTTATGAATCACAATTACTTCCCAGTGGTCTTCACAGTTAAGGACACACATTTCAAAAGGTGGCCTCTGGGCCTCACCTTGCACGCACACACACTCACACACACTCTCATGCTGTGGGAACATCGTTGATCAGCTGCTGGGCTTGGCTGGCTCACGTCAGGTACTGCACCACGAGGAACATGACCACACAGGTGAGGAGCATCCCACCGATCATTAAGTACTTGTCCTGGAAAGCCCGCTTCTCGATGAGCCGCATCACCGTGTTGGACAAGCCCAGCATGTTGGCGATGTCAAGGATCTTCTTCTGAGTCCCCTGGGGCAGACAAGAGGAGAAAGGAAAACATAGATCGACTCATTCTGCCACGGTGAATGTCATTATGAGATGGGGCTTTACCAACAGACAAGTTTCTTGGTCATGCTTAAAGCATATAAAAAGCAGTGCCAACCAGAAATACATCACTCTCATATGGGTAGATAACTTTTGATCAAGGTACTAGAGCATCACAAGGGGGAAAGAAAAGTCTTTTCCACAAATGTGCTAGAATAATTCGCTATATAATAAATATCTCCTACATGTTATCACACACACACGTCTTGTGCGGATATATATATGTACGTGTGTAAAAAAAGGATCCTTGATTTCTATTATACACAAAAATAAAGTTGAGATGGATAAAACATAAAAGCTGAAACTACGATGAAGCTTTTAGTAGAAAACACAGAATATCCAAAAACTAGAAACAATCCAGGTGTATATTACCAGAGGATGAATACTTCATGATTTATCTGACAAAGGGAGTGCTGCTTGGCAATAAAAAGAATTACCAACATGTAACAGTATGAATGAGCCTGCAAAACATTTCCAAGGGGAAAAAGCCACACATAAAATAGTATGAATACATTTATACAAAATTCAATAACAGACAAAACTAACTTATGGTGACATAAATCAGTACACTGGTTGCCTGGGGGGGAGAGGCAGGCTGACTGGGTGGGAAAACGCATGAGGGATCGTTCAGGGTGATGAAAATGGTCTGTCGTGATAGCAGCGTGAGTTACAAACGTGTATACATCTGTCAAGGTTCCATGACCTATAAGATCTGCATACCTCCCTGTAAGTGCATGATACCTCAAAAAAAATTTTACATTAGAATATTTTATACTAAAAAAAGGTTAACATCAAAAATCTTTGTCTCTGCTCCCTAGCTCTTTGATTAGAGAGAAGTCTCATGGAGTCTGCTGAGTACAATGTGTGGGTCAGTGTCCATGATCAGGAGCGGGTTTGAAGTGGCCCAAGATGGAACGACAGAAACACAACTGACACAGACACCAACACAACGACCTAAAACCCCTATGCGTCACCACCCACCACTGAAAACAAAAGGTCTTTTTATTCCTAAACCAACAGCCCAAACCACCCAGCCTGCCCTTCTTCTCTGCCTACTATTCATTATTAAGCACATTTAATTTCTTATGAAATGACAAATATAAATAAATGCTGGGTAGACTCCAAGTTACATCTAAACACATCACCAACTGCATTTGGATGGCACCTAACTTAATGCCTCACATCCATTTTTAAAATGAATAACATATCAACAAGCAACTGAGAAGATGCAAGAGAAGCGAGAATGACATGAGGCACCATGGACAGGGATTCGAACCTACATTCTGCCCAGTGACTAAAAAGCCTCCCGGAGAGAGATTTCTCAAGTCAAACTTGATCATTGCCAGAGACCAGACGTGTGTTTTCTCCACAACAGTAATGGTAAATATTAGACTCTCGCTAAAGATTCTGCTTAGCTTGAAAAGCACAGGTTATTTCCTCACCGTTTGAAGTTCAAGCATCAAGCCTCTAAAATCACCTTAAAATTGCCATAAATTTAAAAAACTGTTCTCATTTTCAACCACGAACTTCCCCAAATCGGGACCCAGCTCCTTCATGCTCTCTCCCACATTCCTTTCAAATGGCTAAAGTAGAAACTCTCCTGGCAGAGGTGGGATGGGAGTCAAGTGGAGGGAATTAAGTGACGGCAGACAAGTGGATGGGGGGAGTACGAGGAAATGGGACCAGAAGCCTCACAGCCCAGCCCCCAAGAGCCTCACCAGGCTCACCGGCATTTCACTTCTGGTGACCGTGTAGGGGCAGAAGCTACTTGTACTCCTCAGCGATACGAGACTTCAGGAGGAAGCTCACATTTGCTTTAACAATAAGCTCTAACCCCCATGGGTTGACGTTAGTGTGACATGGCGAGTCCTGGCCTAAAAGGGTTTTTCTGTTTTTCTGAGATATGGGAAGGAGGCCAACAGTATTCTACAGAAAGGGCGGATTAATCAGCATGTATCAGTTTAGATTATTGCAGGTGGCTGTTCTGAAAGGGGGGCGCCTGTGAAGCAGTCGGAGACCACACTTCAGGCCCTCTGAAGCACTGTAGCTGTCCGGAGGAAGTAAGTGTCACTCGTGGCTCTCCTGACCTTCTCCCTGGTAAAGGTGGCAGAAATATACTGAACTCTCTCGGAGCTGACAGGCCCAATGTGGTCCAACAAAAACTAAGATAAAGCTCATGCTTCCGAGTGACTGTTTCTCACAGCTCAGTGGCTGGGAGTGCTTCGTTCACAGGGAACCACACCCTGATAATAGGCACAGCCCACACCCCATTATCCATCAGGGTTGATACAGGAAAAGGGCTGAGGCTGAAACATCACAACTGACATCAGAGTCTGTGTAATGTTTCTGTAAGCCACTCCCAGGGGGTTGGAGTCTCAGCCAATGGGGCGGGGCTTCTAGCAATACCTAGACTCAAAGAATGAAGAGTCTCTGGGGATCAGCAGCATGTGCTCTAGACGCTATCAG